GAATTTCTTCACCCACTTCCACGGAATTCTTCAGTGAGACATGCGAATTTCCCATTTCATCTACGACATATAATTTTAAATAGTTCGAGGAGTAGACCACTCTTTGTACTTTACGGTTCACAAACTTTTCATGGGTCTGCCACTGTCTTACAGGATCCTCTTACATCTGGATCCGCTCTGTCCTCTAGTCTTTTTCTCAACGGGAGAAGAGAAAGAATAAAGGCTAGAGGCTTCAGCATTTTGGAGGTGCGTCTAGAATTTTGATCCTAACAGACAGACCACCCTTATTCTTTGAATCCTTCTTTGAATCAAGCAACAGCCATTTAAGATAAATCCGAACGAAGGGGGATATGCCATTACGACATCTACTGGAAAGACGAAAGCGCTTAAAAGTGACAACAACAGACAAGCAGCAGAATATGCAAAAAATTACATTTCTAAAAAAGCAGTATTTCCGAAGCAACCAGAGAAGCTCTCACTGGCACAGAAAGCCGACACGCTGTACAAAAAATATATTGCTCTCATTTTGCACAAGGACAATGCAATGTGAATAATGCACATGAAGTTGCAGGCGAGCTCGCGCAGTCATCGAAAAGTACTAACTTTTTCTAGCTTGAAAAAACGAAGATCCATAAGCATCTTGATTTTTGTTCAGTGAAACTAGGCCCAAATTTTCGCGCTTAAAGAAAAAAACTGTACAAAAAATCGTTTCCGTATACAGCCTGTACAGTTGAACACAAACAGAAAACCAAATATATTTTTTCACACCTTTTTTTCTAAACTACTGTTTTTTTGCCTTCCTGAAAACTGATCTAGCACTATTTGTCCTCGAGACATCGCTTTATTCTAGGCCGCCATCGGGCGACGCAGATAAACAGTGGGTTCAGCGGAAATCCAAAAGAACTCATTTTTGCCGAACTACAGAATTTAGTTTATAAATTTAGACATCTGGTACAGTTAATTTTGAAAAACAACTCTGTTTTCAGCCAAGCCTCCTCTGAACCGAGTTAGTTTGAACAAAAAAAAAAAAAGAACTAACGTGAAAACACCTGCTACAATGGCGGTATAAGTGATACATATGAAAGATTACGCTGCACAGGAGCTTAAGTATGAATACTCGAACAGGGCAGCGGGAACCGTTACAATTCTGACCGGGAATGCGAATACAGATGCGATAATACAGACGATTCGTTGCAACAATAAAAACACTGACAAATTTCAAACGTTGCTTGCAAATTTCTGAATTTCCAGTATAATCAAATGATATTTTTCTTGGAACACCTCCTCCATTGACATAATTTGCATGCAACAATAAATAACTTATCAAGCTCAATAAATATGCAGTATCAGCTGACCCGAAACCAAATCTCCAATATAAGAATTACGAAATCAAAAAAAAAAAAAAACCGAGA